TCGTTCCTTTTGCCTAAATAAGGAATAGTGATATCTATAGGCCCCCAGTGATTTGAGTGGATCTATGAAATCAGGCGCCTAGTCTGGACTAAATTGATGCATTCGATTTTCTAGTATAAATTGATCACAAATCGGGAAATCGACAAATAAAAAAAATGAAAATGAGGTTAATCATTTAATCCATGACTCATTTCATACAATGTATTGTAGAACAAAGGAATACATGATCACTTATCTTAGGGTCAATTTTTGATTTGAATCAGAGTTTGGCAGTGGCTGTGGAAAGCACTCTTTAATGTTTAGTTCAAGGTCTATAGTTGCAATTGTAGTTACAGACTTATCCAAGTGGTATACTATTGGATTAAGGTGTCAAAGTTAGTAACTAAATTGGTATATTCTTCTAATTAGAAGCAAAGTCCTTTTTGGGTTGCCCTTGAGGTTTCCATAAGCCTCTTGGATGCATATAAGGAAAGGATATGGATTGAGATTAAATCCATTCAAATTTTGCTTGGTCCCTAAGTTACAAAAACTATAAATATGACTCCTTACGACCTTAATTTCGTTCATGCACTTCCCATAATCTTTAGGAACGAAATTTTCCTCTCCTGAGTTGTATTCTAGTTCTATGGTTTGGGTGTGAGGCATTACAGACATCATACTTTTGGTGCTAGCTTTCAAAGATCTTCTAAGGAATGATTGAAGTGATTTGTTTACTACACCATATCAATGTTATGTAACCCTAATTATTTTATTTTGATTATACTATGGTTTCATTAGGGTTATGTTAGTTTTGCTGTTCATAGTATGTTGCATTCAAAGTGTATGACATCGATCCTTTAGTTTGCATGTGCCCTTAAATGTTAAGTGAAATTCCATATGCACATGGTTTTTTTTGGTAACCTATAAAACCCATCTTTAGGGTTACATCGATATTCTTCATTTAAAAGTTCTCTATGAAATGATCATATGAATTCGGAAGCGAAAGAAGAACCAACCAAATTAATGGCTTGCTCCCTTAGGAAAACGAAACCCATTCTATCCAACATGGCAATGTACGATTTCATTTTCAGAACATACGCCCACATAGAATTTCCATCTTGATGTCTACATGCCAATAGGTCTTGAGTAGTTTAGTATCTTTTAACTTAAGGAAAACGTGACGTTGGGAGAGTCACCGGAGGAGGAGGTGGAAGAGTTGAAGAGAGATAATGTGCAGTTCCATGATTTCCTAAGGAAGGGAAAACAATTTCACCTTGACTTGAAATTGGAAGACCATCTCCAAAAGATTAAGGAAAACCATTTCTATAAGAATGAGGAATACCATTTCTATCTTCATAAGACATATAAAAGTGGGAGAAAAGAGAATTCAAGTTAGTTAATTTTAATCTTTAGTTATTAACCCATAAATTTAAATTAAGGTTAGGATCCATATTTTTGATTCGAACTTTAAAGAGGGATGTCGTGGTCAAATTCGAATCTATTTTAGGTAGGTAAGGCTTCTACCAATTTCAATCTTATGAAACTCCTGATCTTTTACGATTCATTGAATCTTATCAATGTCATATTTGATCTTGGAGTATGCTCTCACTTTTGTGATTAGGATGTCGAGGATTACATACAAGATGTAAAAAACCATGCAAACACGCTTGGCAACCTCGAGGTTTTTTATCATCTCAAATTGATGTGATGATTAACCACACACACTCCATCAAGAATGATAATTTTCAATATGATCCATCATATCTCTTTATAGTCGCTATTAGCGTGCCCGTTAACCACACACGCTCCACGAACGACATATAAAGCATGATGTGTGTTTTCATGGATTAGCATACTTTTCACATTTTGCTAAAGTAACTAGAATGGGATTTTTTAAAAAGGTTCCAGTACTTTATAACATTATACTTTTAATGAGGTTACATGGGAGAGGTTAGTGAGAGTGGACACCCAATGACAGTTATTTCATAGGTCGTTTCTTTGTACCCCCCTTAGAGTATGACTTCTTGAATGAGGCCTACTATTTTTTCGACTAACCTTTCTTATACATATGTTAATTATCTTTTAATAATATATATAATGTGTATTTTAAAACTTTTCAAAATACAAGGTTTTTAACTTTTAATTATCTAAATCAAACTTTTAATTAATTAATTAAATTTAAACCTATTATGATTTAATCTTTATATTTTAATTAACTTTTAATTAAATTAATTTAAATCATTTAGGGATTAAATAATTATTTTCTTTTAAACAATTAGTTAAATAATTCAAATTTAATCCTAATTCATAACTAATTTTCAAAAATTAGTGTTTGTGTTATCCAATTTTAATTATTCTATTTTAAGGCTTTTAAAACAATAACTAAGGAAACTAGAAAACCCTATGGGAACCCTAGCCATTTTTTAAGTTTAAGGGGCGGAGGCTATGGTTTCAAGACACCCTAGCTAATTCGAAATTTCAAGCCTTTAGGGTTTAATTTCTATAAAACCTCTGAACATCAAGAACCCTAAGGGTACTCTATAATAATCAAAATTTACATAGAGTTAGGGTTTAAATACCTCCTGATTATTGTAGCAAATAATCACACCAATATCCATCTCGAAAACTTTGAAAAGCAAGCACCAAATGTTTAGTACCTCTAATGGTTTGTACCAAAAACACTAGAAACCCTACAATGAAGAGGAGAGAGAGGAGAGAAGTATAATATTCGTTCCTATGCTTCTTAGGAAGGTCATGAACGAAAATAATGAGCCAAGGGGTCCTATTCTAATTGATTTCCTATTAATTTATTAACCATATAAATTAACAAATCAATTATTTAACTAAATGTATCATGTTAATTTATTAATCACATAACAAATTAGTGTATCAGTTATCTATTTCTAATTATTATATTAATCACATAATATATTAACAAATAATTTCTCTCTCTTTCTCTCTCTCTATATCTCTCTCTCCTAATATCATTCTAACTATTGCTGGTTATGAGCGGAACCCAAAAAGGACTTTGCTTCTATTTGCAGGTTTATACCAATTTAGTTATGAGCTTAGACACCTTAATCCAACAACTAGTACCTCATCAATTCGCACTGAGAGTAATTCATATGTTTCTAGAACAAAGCAAAGCTTTTTTTTAAGAAAAATAATGTGTTTCTAATTCTTGGATAACTAAGTTTAACAAATCTCATATGCCTATTTTTGTAAAGAAAAATAAATTTGGTATTAGGTAGTTATAGATATGGTGACAGTTCTCATTAAGCAGTTAAGTTTACTTCGAGGAAGGTTCGAAATGAGTGTAAAATATCCTGATTTGAAATGAAAAATGGATCAAAAAATGATAACTCCTTAACTTTTCTCCCTGCAAAGTGCTATGAAATTTTTAATATTGGTAAATCTTCAATTGTTAAACCCATTGCAAATTGGGTTCATAAAGTTCTAATTGTTTATTAGTATTGCAGGGCCAAGAGTATATTTGGTATCTTGACAGTAGATGTTGTAGGCATATGAGATGATTTAAGTTTCTCCTACAATATTATGTTAACAAAAATGACCCTCTAGTCAGTAATGGAGACAATGGAAATGGACACACAAAGGGATATCCCACTATCAATTTCAAATCAATGCAATTTTCAAATATTTCATATGTTATAAGGGTCTAAAGCACAATCTAATCGTTATTAGTCAGCTGTGTGACAATGATCTTTATAAAAGTCCCTACATTATGGGCTAACTAATAATAAAGCCATAATTTCTTTAAAAGAAAAGGACAAAGAGTATTATTTTACGGTAATCATAATCTTAATGGTATTATCTTTACTTCATATGTCCATATTGAAGAGAGTCTTGTCTTACTATAAGAACATTTATAAAAAACAAAATACAAAAAAAAAAAAGTTATTTTCATGATAAAAAAATTGACTAGAAAGACACAACTACAATTACTTTTAGGGAAAAGGACCTTGATCGAAAAGTTATAAAAAATAATAACACCAAATAAAAAGACTGCAATATTATAGTAAGAAAATATCCTCTAACACAAATAATATGGTAAGATAATCTAATTTGTCATATAAAGAGGATACAATATGATTATTTAAGGCAAGACCTTGTGATAGACATAGAGAATATAGTAACAAAATGTGTTTTCTAACTATAATCTTACAATATGATATTTGTTTAATAGGTGGTATTATTTTACTATAATGTTACAATATGATATTATTTTACTTCTTATTGTAAGGCAAAACCATATGTTAGACATAGAGAATATAGTAACATTATAGTAAGATAATATCATATTGTAATATTATAGTAAGCTAATATTATCTGTCAAACAAATATTATACTGTAAGATTATAGTTAGAAAACATACTTTGTCACACAGGAAGAATACAGTAAGATAAAATCTACTATCGACTATTGGATTTACAATATATAGTTAGATTCCAATAAGACAAAATCCACTATCGACTGAGAATACAATTAATAAGATAATAACATGAATACACTAACTAAGATTATACAGAGATAATATTCTTTGTCTTTTTCTTTTAAAATGAGCCATGACTTTGTTGTTAAGAAAACGATGATATAAGGACTTTTCTGATGATTGTCATTTAAAATCTCAAACAGATGTGTGAACGGTTTTGGTTTCTTTTCATTTTTTGTAAACCATGGTAGGGTTTTTATCATTCTTCCGTAAACAATTGTATGTTTTTTTTGTCATTTTCTTCTCAAAATATAAAGTCATGGTTTTTTATCGTGCTAATTAGCTTGAAATATATAGACATTTCCGAAGATTTCTCTCAATGTGTTGATGCAAGTTTTTTGCATTTGATTTGTTTTCTCAGTGATCGTTTTATTTTAATGTTTTGAAGCCTTGGTAGTTGAAAATCAGACAATATGATACATTTTTAATCTTGAGAATACATTACAATTAAGAAAAAAAAATATAACATAATACTTGTCATGCATCTTTGCAAACTACTCCATTTTTTGAGTTAAATTGCAACGCGCATAACTAAAATCAGAAACAGAACGATAATAATTCACACAAACATAATCCACCTCTCTCCTATAACCCTTTTTGTTTGTCCTCCCATGAACGTTGTTATTGTTGTAATTGCTGCCCGCTTCATTATAGCTTTAGATTCTTCAGAAGCCTGTTGGCAATTTGAAAATTGAGTGAGAAAAAGCAACATTTCTACCAACTTTGTTATGCTTTTTGAAATATAGTCATGCTGGCGTCACCACATTCCGAAGTCCATATAATTAATGGTGGATTACATTATCCCTTCACGAGGCTTTTTCTTTGCATCCCCCAAAGGGCAATGCAAATTACGTGGAGTATTTATTTTAAACAAATTGTTTTCCATTATTACACCTTTTCATCACATCAGTAAAGTTGCCTTTTAGATATGTTCCTCAAAGCATCCAAAATATCACTTTGTACATAGATGGTCATGACCATTACTAGCAGTTGAATTCGTACTAACATGACAACCGACCTTTCGGTAGAAAAAAGTTGTTTATTGGGTATGAATTGAGTGGGAACTGCCGACTAAAGTAAATACCTAGATCCAAGGAGAAATGTCATAGCTTAAACTTGAAATTAGTGAAATAGTACTATTGAGGAATGTGATAAATTTATTAAATATTTTGTCCATCATGTGTCCACCCTTATCAAGAGACAATAGTCACTAGCTAATATTTTATAACATGCAGAATAAGCAACTTGGAGATTTGAAGTTAAAGTATACGTTTGGAACATGCGCATGTGACTAAAACAAGTAAGATTGGATTTCATGTGGTTTCTTAAAAAATTCAAATGCTATATTAGAGACCTCATAAAATAAAAGAAAAATACACCCATACAGATTCAGATAACTTAGAACTATTTCTGGTAAGTCTTTTGGTGATTGCTATTGGTTCTGGCCTCTGAAACAAAAAGTGAATGTTCCAATAACACATACCCATGATGTATTTTTGGCGGATAAACTATCTTAGAAGATGAACTAAAATCCTACCAATTGTATATCTTTCTTGTGACATCACATAATCTGAGCAAGAAAATATATAGTTAATTAGTAATATAAAGAAAAGAAAACTACCTCTGTTCATTTCCAAATCCACGTCCGTTGCTTCCCATATCCCTATAATTGGGTAAAGGAACTTGGTCTAATTCAATTTGCATGACATCCCTCTCAAGGATTGCATAATGCCTCTTCACCTCCTCCACTGACTTTCCACCGACAGCTCTAGCAATGTTATGCCAGCGATCAGGTGTGTCCTTGTTATAGTAAGCTAAAGCGTCTTCAAATTGCTTGTTTTGTCTTGGAGTCCAGGAAGATCCAGAGCTACGTGAAGATGTCATAGAGCCTGATGCCATTACTTGTGTATTGTAAGTTTTACAGGGATAGGAAACTTGAGTATATGAAATGAAAAGAGTAGAATCAGAAATCAAATGGAGGATCAAATCTATAAAATGCACCCTCAGTCAATGGAGAAGACTGAAGTCAAGGGGATGGTATGCACTAGATTGCCATGCTGCTTCCCTATATATAAGAAGAGAAAAAGGCAAGGTGGAGCAAGTTGGAGAATATTATTTTATTTTTTTATGTTTTTGAAAAACGTACAACAATATTATTTAGTCCATTGGTATCCACGACATAAGGAAGCAGGCCAGTTAGTTGTGAAGAGAGGTAAATAATCTATGCCTTAAAAGTATTATTCTTGTCTGTTATTATATCATCAATATATCAGCAAGTGGCTTTATGATGGCACTTACCTTAGCTAATGGTATTAGATCCTAAATTCAAAGCCTACCCATTAGGATAGAAGATAGATGCGCTGACACCATGAATTTTGACAATCTAAGATATTATGCCATCTTTGGTTGGATATTGTTGCATAAATTATCATGTCATCATTCTACACATAGCACTGGTCATTAATATATGCTAAAAGTGTAAATAGTTATTTAATACACATTTTCCAGTGACCACTTCATGAAAAATACGATACCGGCCGTTAAAAGGGAAAATTCTTATATTAAATGCTATATACTGTACCATATGATTATATCTATTAAATGGTTTTCTTTCATTGCATTTTTTGCTAAAATGATTAAGATTGATGTCATTATATATCTCTTTCAAACTATTGTCATGATCTGCTTCAAAAAGATCAATATTCTAATTGCTAACACCTTTGGTTTAACTAAAAACTCCGGCATGCTCCATGGATGCTTAAAAGAACTCCGAACTGCTGGAAATATCGTGTTGGGAGCTCTTTTTTAGTTGTGACTTGTGAGAGGTATAATCATGCATCCCTAGCTCCTATCGGGCTGCTTATTTTCATCTGGCTTTAGTTTTTCAAGTTCTAAAAGACCCAATCTCTAAAATTATCGTTTTCCTGTAAAATTATCGTGAGTACAGAGTTTTATAACTACTATTCAGTATAGAAGGATAGATTCGGTGTAGGATATCTACTAATTAATTCCACTTTTAGATAGGTTAATATTATGCTCTTATGATATTGATATCTGAGGACTAGTTTCTACCTTCTAAGAATCCAGTTTGACTACCTAAAAGGAGATAGAAAGCGAGGCTTTTTCTTAGCCTATAATTTCTTCTATGAAAGCATAACTGCCAACATAAATAAGGAAAAATAGAAAGCGATGGTGGCCTCAGTTGAACAATTTGCTGAGGTCCAATGCCTTAAGATCCTCCCCACTATGCAGGTGGAGGGCCCTTCATCGATATGGAAGTTAAATGCACGAAGAATCTGTATAAAATACTCCATTCTTTTGATATTGTAGAATCCTTATCATCTCAAGAAATTGCAGGTATAAAGCTTCCCTAGAAGGTGGAATTATTTATGCAATGTGGCCCAGTGGTCCTTGTATATGGACATAGTAATCGGCTTGTGTCCATAAAAAAATTGTTCGCTTAGATATGATCAAAATGTCAAGACTATCACCTTCTTTTTAAGCCGTTAGGCTTGAAGGACTTGTTCTTCCAATTGAGTTGCTCACACTTTCGTTCATAGCAGTCTTCTAGTGCCGATAAGGAACCTGCACAAAACAGTGATTTCTCAAGCGTTGAAAGGATTCCCCCACCACTATCAGTCTCCCACTCGATATATTTGAAAGGGAAAATCATAGCTTGAGAACCACACTTAGAAGGAATTTGAGAAAAAAAAGGTTTACTTAAAGGTTGAATTGACATAGAGGAAAAGTATTGAGGGATGTTCTGGTGAGGGAATTTTTTTTCTGAAAGATAAGAAAATATACGCGTGTAAGGCATAGACACCAACCAAATGAGAATTCTACTGTCCAAGAAAATATCGTTATATCATTTCTGTCAAGAGTGTTGACCTCAGTTAAGACCAAGTAGTGGTTCTTGATTCTATATGATGAGATATGTTTCACCTTTTTTATGCCAAATAAGGTATTCATGTTGGCTTAGTAAATTGCCTTTTTTCGTAGTTAATTATTTCTTTGATTAGATTCCAAACATCCTTCTTTAAATGATTCTTATTTAGTTTCAACTGCCTACTATTGTTTTGCCTTATGAAGGATTACCAAAAGTGTTTCATTCAGGCTTCATGCATGGGTAGAATAAGGACTTAAAATCTTCAAGGAGAATATCTATCTTGTAAGCTAGAAACCCTGAACTCGAAACTCTAAACACTAAACCCTAAATCCACATCTTATAAATCCAAGAACCAGTGGTATAATATCTGAATACACATTGGTGACTTCTTACCATGCGACTTGGGCTGGATGAAATTGGAATTGATGTCTCCTGTTGTATGACTGTATCCATTCAATTTAAAGTCTTGTATTATTGATCCGACAAATAAAAGGTGAGAATCAGAATCAAGAATGATTCTTGCTGATAGAGCATATATTTCACTGGGCACTTGAAAACCCAGCCCCACCCTACCCTCCAGAATATCTGCACTGTTACATGTATATTGTTGATGTAATTCTAACTTTATGAAAAGCATTAGCTCAGTAGTTGGAAAAAGGGCTTAATACACCAGCAATATGGAAAGGGTAGTGTATACATACTGCAATTATCTCTGATAAATGTTTTGGGATGTAACTCTGATAAATGTTTTAATTAAGCAATGTATTTGAATGGTTGCACTAACTAACATCTGTGTTTGACTATAATGAAAAATGAAATTTTTACCCTGTATTTTTAGGTCATTACAAGTTGGTATTAGAGCCTTGGTTTGAGGGATTCGGACGTACTTTCGGGTGTGTTTGAACTCAAACTGAGCATTTGTTAAAGTTTTCAAAAGAATAATATTTTGAGAAAAGAAACTTTCTAAGATAAGAAATGGTTGTGGTGCATGCAATCAGCCGAACTCAAGTAAGTTTTCCCCAGAATACCCATATATGTTATTTGTGACAACCCGAAAGTTCTATCCTGTACAACCATTCAATTCAATAGAAGTCAGAACAATTTCTGCTAACTTTCAAGCTTTTTGGAATAAGTTTGAGTGTTTTTAAGTTAGTACTTCAGGAGATATCAGGAGAGAGGATGCCCTAGGGTTTATTGTGCAACAATAATGTCCCAAAACTCCAAGATTTTGGAGTTTACGGCCTAAACAAAGGTGTTTACGGCCGTAAACCCTAAAAGGGGGTATAAATATGACACTTAGTTATTATTTACCACTTTTCACATTTTCAAGATCCAAAACTCGATTCTCTCTCAAGTATCATCCAACCTTTCTTCTTGATCTTCAACTATGTAAGTGTTTCTTACCCTAAAAAGTTGATATCTTGCTTAACCTAGTGATATACCAAGAACACCAAGAACACACACTAGTGTTCTTGGACTTTTAGCACCTTTTCAAGCTTCTACCTAGTAAGTACTCTTACCCTAGAGTATTATAAGACTTGTTACACTTCTAAACATCAAGAAAACACCAAAGAATCAAAGGATCAAAGGTGTTTACGGTCCAAGAACACCTTGGACCGTAAACCCTAAAAAGGGTGCCAAAGGGTGCCCTAGTCCCTTACCAAGCCTTGGAAACTAGCCTAGACCCTTCCTTGATGTGCTTAGTACTTGAAAACATCAAAAGACCATGAACCATTTGGGTTTACGGCCGTAAACCCAAGGAGAAGTGGTCCAAGGACCGTAAACTCCACAAAGGAGTGAAATGGTGCTCTAATCTCTTCCTAAGGCTTATACTTCAAGTAGAAATGCTTCTAAGGACTTGTAAAGCTTCAAAACTCAACATGGTTAAAGTACCATGAGTTTATGGCCGTAAACTCATGGGTTTACGACCGTAAACTCAATGAGTTATGGTCAGAAAACCGTAAACTCCAATAAAGGGTCCCCTTGAACCCTAAACTCAATAGCAATGTCCTACAACACTTAGATGCAATCCTTAGGACTTATAGCACTTAAATAAGGTGTTTTACATGTCCTAGGATGTCTTAACTTTGTTAATTAGTTGTTTTAAAACTAATTGGATACATATATGTGTTATTATATGTTAACTAGGATCATTGTGTGTGTACAAGTCTTCACTTGACACCTAGCATCCTATACATTCCGTTCATCCAAACCACTCACTACAGGTGAGTTCATACCCCTTAATTAACCTTTTAAATGTTTTTAAATGCTTTTATCGGGGGGATACAAGTTGAACTATTACAGTTATTATATCAATCACATGTGATTAATAACTACCAAACAAGTGGATTCTTACTTTTCAAACTTTGTTACCAAACTGTTTTACTTCAAACTGTTTAACAAACTCTTTTTCATATCAAATACTTTTATTAAACTCTTTTAACTTATATTCTGTGTATCTGTGTAAATATAGTTATATAAGTAGGATTGAAAGGACTTAGGACTGATAACCTACCTTACTTTCTGTTCCTTGTTTGGTTGTGGACTTAGGGTATCAAGGTTGTTTGTCCGAAGGTCGTTTGAATCCTAGTTATATATCATGTATATGTATATAGATATAAAAGGTTACTTCATTCGGTTCAATACCTTTGGGTAGCAAAGGTATACACACTTGTTCATATACACAAACAACATTACTAGTAAACTATAATAGGTATAGTTTAGGGAGATACTAATACTATTACTAGAACAATGAAACATAAATGAGTCAATTCATACATGAGTCAATAACAAACAATAGATACTATGATGAGAAACAAACAATACATGCTAGACAGGGAGAGAACACACAATACAGCTAGCACATACATATACTAGAACATTTCTACATTTACGTGAGCCACCTAACGGGGCATGACACTACCTGTCATGACCGTTTTTGTATCCAGGATCTCCTTAAGTGGGGATCGTATGAGTTTGTGTATAGATCTATACTGGATTGACTATCCTACACCTTGCTGCTCGCTATAGTGGGACTTGCAAGTCTACGGGTGCCAAACGTCATTTCTTACGACGTCTTACATCGTCGTTTTTCTATAGAGTCGGTAGCAGGATACAGGCCGATCACATGGTACTTTAAATAACAAT